CCTTATCGTAATGCGCTTCAGACTAACCCTACCTCAATTAGGTCTTTTGAGGGCTGTATCGTGGTCGGGTTCACGGTTCGTGAAACAAAGGATATTTGGCTCAAATTTTGATTTGTACTCACCCCTTCTACGTGATGATCTCCGATCCTAAGGTTCAGTTAACCTGGCACAAGCGCTCGCCTCTTCGAGAAGTATGTTGAATGGTAAGAACCACAGTTAAAAAATTCACAAGCTTTTCTTCTAGAGTGACAGTTACTCCTTCTTCGCCTTGGTGTCTGTGTACACGACTTTGTGATTTGCTGGGGAAAATTTTATTTTTAATCCCTTCTTTTGATTCCCTAATTTTTGCCTGGACTGATTCATTTTGAGTTCTTTTCGATTTTTCGATTTCTTTTGAAGTCCAGCGGGATGCCCTGATTTTCGCCTAAGTATTAGCTTTCTCAGCTTTTCTTTCTTTTTACTTAGCGGGCTTTCTTTCTTTCTTTCTTTTGGAACAAAGTCGTGTGACACTGGTTGTCTTGATTGCTCCGAAAGGATTGTAACTGTCTCACTCCTGATTGGTGAGATTTGACCTCTTGAAGGTATAAACTGGTTGGTCCTCGACAGACAACACTCCTCGGTAAGACTTGAATGCTCGGTAAAGTTAACTGACAACTACCCTGCCCCGGGTTAAGATGTGAGGGTTTTAAAAGTCCGAAAAAACTTCTACTTCCTGGCTCGAAGTGGTTGGCAAGGGACTAACTCCTTATATCTCCAGTGTTTGGGGAATTTGAAACAATGCCTTGTACGTCATCGGTACGGTCTTATCTGAAAGCATACGATCATTGGTTATGAGTTTCAGTTTCATCATCCTCCCTCCTAACTTTGCTAGTCACAGCGAAAAAGTGGGGTGAAATAAATGCAAGTGTCAGTGCAATGCCATAAATGAGCGACAGCGACATGATTAATTCAGAAAAATGCATAGTCACTTTATTATTATCACCATTCGAAACATACAATGTTAAAAAGCAGGTAGTAACTAAAAGAAAAGAAACTACAAATGCAAATGATATAAAAGCTTGAGAACTGCCACTGCTGAGGCGCCTGCCTGTCTAAACCACTGGCTTATGCTGGGGAATACCCTTCTGAGTCTACGAGCTTAGACAGCTGAGCGGTTAGGGATGAACAAACAGAAATCCTTCTCGAAAGGAAATGCGATCCTGATCAATCAACTGCTGTACCTTCGCCTGAAATGCTTTACAATCTTCCGTCGAATGCCCCGGAGAGCCACCATGATAACCACACTGAACGTGGGGATTGTACCCAGGAGGGTAAGGTTCTGGAACTGGCTTAAGAGATTTCGGCTCCACCAAAGACTTCTGAATCAAAGACGGTAGCAACTGGCTATACGGCATAGGCACTGGGTGAAAAGGAGCTTTCCTTCGTTCCAAGTTGTTACGAGGTCTGTTCTGATTCTGACGCTGATTCTGATAACCCCGGCCACGAGTTCGCTGATTTGCAACGGAAGCGACATAAGATTCCTGATAGAGTGCCCCAGGCACGGCTGTCTGTTCAGTATAACAAGCCACGGGAGGTACTGATCTCTGATAAGATGATGAACCAACAAAATTCACTGATTCGCTTCGAGGATATTCAATCTTTGGCATGACTGAGTTGATTACAACTTCTTCTTCACTCTGATAGTCACAAGGGTATTCAGTTTCACCAGCTTGATCATATGGAGTAATCTGAATTTCCCCATTCTTATGGAATACTCAAGGCGTTCTCCTAATGCTACCACTTCAGAGAAACTTGCCGGAATTCCGAGCAATCTTTTGAAGTACGGATATTGTAGGGAATCTACAAACATGCTTGCCAACTCTTGGTCTAACAGCGGGGGACGCACTCTAGCAGCAAATTCTCTCCATCTCTGAGCATACTTCCTGATCGGTTCATTGATCTCTTGAGACAACTCTTGCAAATGCATGCGATAAGGAGCAATGTCTAGGTTGTAATCATACTGCTTCAGAAAAGCTCTGGCTAAATCCATCCATGACTGAATCTGATTCCTCTCTAACTGCATATACCACCTCAAAGATGCCCCAGTCAGACTATCTTGAAAGCAATGGATCATCAACTTATCATCTCGCGCAAACGCAGTCATTCTTCGACAGAACATCATCAAATGCAGCTTTGGACAGCTATCTCCCGTGTACTTCTCAAATTTCGGCACTTTGAACTTGTAAGGCAACACCAGGTCAGGAACCAAACACATGCCTACAGCATCCAGGTTAACAGCATCTTTGGCTTTCAAAGCTTTCATTTGCTCTTCCAACACTCGGACTCTTCTACCCTGGTCAAGAGCTCTTGGATCTACCATCCCAGCTGCTGGAATATCTCTTCGGTAATTCATCACAGGGAAAGCAACATCTTGATTGTTGACAGGAGGAGGACGCTCATTCTGGGCAACAAACTGCTCATGTCGATCTCAGTTCTCAACAGAAGGCTGTACAACTTGGTCTGCAGCAACGTTGTTCACTCGCGGGGAATCTTCCATGGAATCATACAGAGGGTTGGACGCCATAGTGAACCCTGTCAAGGTGTTAGGAGACTGGAAATTGCCTTCAGACATGGCTACCAATAATCTTCAGCTGACTTCGACACTTGATTCTGCTCAAATCTACTCAACCCCTGGGTAGGTCTTCTGACAATCAACAGCTGCTCAATCCAAACTCCGGGTAATCACCTTCAGGAAACAAAGGCTGGATCAGAACTCTGGCTAGCTGGAGGATGATATGCAATGCAACACTGATATGCATATGATATGCAAAATGCAGCAAACAATGGGACCACAGCCCCCACACAAAATCTGAATACTGCTGCGCTGCTGACGGAGACGTTCTTTGAAAAGAAGACCAGAATAACGGGTAGGTTGGAAGTCAAGTTTCCTGCACAAAAAACCCCCCACTCACAGGTGTGGACCTATATCTGACAAGGTACGGCATCCTATGCGGTCGTCAGCGTCACAAACTTTCATGAGGAATGATACGATTCCCAGAAGGAGTGGCATCGTCATCTCATGAAGAGGCCTCACTTAGCTGACTTCCAATTGATCGGTTCCCAGAGTCGACAATCCTCACGTCTGGACTCCCCTCAGATCCTCAGGACCGGAAAGGAGCACCTCTGCGAGAACCTCGTCCGAGTGCGAATTTTCGTAGGGAACTGCGCCTGCTCTGCAGACAGGTTCGTCTACTACTTCTCCGCAACTATATCTAGGTGTATACTCATACTCGAGCCCAGGTCCGGCTTATCTCAATCATAGAATACCCGTAACAGCCCAACAGCAACAGATAATATCGATAAATAAACACCTAAATAGACAAGCAAACAAGCGCTAGGATTGACTCTCTTGAAGGGACGTTGGATCCCAAATGCATAAGAACCATCGCAGTTCTTAGCAGCCAGGGGACGTTGGATCCCCAGCAGAGTCGCCAGCTGTCGCTACTGCGAAAATCGGCGCCGGCTGAACAGAAGAGTCGCCACCGTGCGTTATTTATCCCTCAGAGCGGGAAAGGAAACACTCGAAGTAAACCTCGCAAAAACGGGGAAAAGGTATGGTCATCGCAACCATAGCCTGGGTTCGGGAGTCGGTTACGCAAGGGGAAGGTATTAGCACCCCTCACGTCCGTCGTACTCGACGGGATCCACGCTTGCTTGGGTTGTCTACTGGATGCAAAATAATCTTATCTATGGCTGCTAAATCTAAACGGAAGGGAATTGACTCGATAGAGCGTCGCACTCTATGCCTACGTATTCTCAAGAGAGAAAGTCAGAGTCAACGTAGTTCGGGACTACGGGGAAAATTGGCTCGCCAAGACCTCGCGTCTTGTGCCTACGTACTTCCACTGGATGGAAGATCAGAGCTTCACGTAGTTCAGACTAACTACGGCTAAACAAAACATTCTCACACAGCAGTGAGAAAAACAACTGGTTTCACAGGGTCGGGAACCTATGGTCAAACTATGGCTGAGTCTCAAATGCACTTGGGCAAGAGAGAAAAAGGGTACTCAATTAATCGTCAGCGGGAAAGTCTCGATCGCACAGCCGCGAGAGAACAACAGGTTAGTCGTTAGTGTGCTCGCTAGGATATCGCATCCTATGCCTACATATCTTCGTCTGGCACGAAGAATCAGAGCAGCTGTAGTTCGGCTACTATCGGACCACAGCTCAAATCTCGTTTTATTAATCTCTGAAAAATGATTACAATGGGTATACTGAAATAAATCTCCTAGGAAACGCTATCCTATTCTATCTTGAGAAGTCGAGTGAAAATAGCCCCCTAACAAATGGGCTTTTAATTCTATCCTAAAAGTCGTAAAATAAAGTCTATGAAAATATCCCTAAAAGAAAATGAACTTTAAAAATATTAAATCGGCACTTTAATATTTTTTCCTTTTTTCTCCTTTTCTTTTCTCATATTTTTCTTTTCTCAAAATATTTTTCTTTTCTCAAAATATTTTTCTCCATTTTTTCCACAAATATTTCTCTATTTTTCTTCACAATATCTCTCTATTTTTTTTTCACAATATTTCTCTATTTTTCTTTCTTTTGATATTCCTCCTTTTCTTTTCAAAATATTCTTTTCTTTTCTTTTTTTTCACAATATCATTTTTCTTTATTTCTTTCTTTTTTCAAATATATTTTTTCTATTTTTCTTCTTTTCTTTTGTTCAACAAGTAAAAAATAAAAAAAAGGAGAAAGAAAATAAAAGGGGCTGGGGGGTGTACTGTTATACAGGGGTATGCAGAAAAATAAAAAAAATGCAAATTAAAGGGCCCAGCCCAAGTCTCAAAAAAACGCAGCAGGGGGTATGTTGAGCCATCTGGGGTGTTGCTGGTAGCAGCGTTGGGCTTAAGCCCATTATGCCAAAAAATGTGAGGGAGGTGTGTGTCAAAAAATGACTGGGCCTGAGGCCCACGACCCTCTCCTTCTCCTTTCTCCCTTCCAAGTTCTGCAAAACCCTAGATGCTACTCTCTCCGCCGCCGTAGACCTCCATCTTTCCAAGAATCACACGACATAGCAACAAGTGCCTCAAACCGTCTTTATCAACAACAGAACTTCTCACACTTTCGAGAGGTGAATCATTGGGAGAGAAACGCAAACCATTACTATGAGCATGACCAAAACCGTGTTGAATAATATCATCAATCTCTTCCTTACTAGACGCACCATACCAAACGTGTTTCACGTTCGCATTTCCACCGCGGAGTTTCGCCACCGCGCGTGCGAAGATCTGAAACGATTGAATTCTCGCTTGTGCCATTACAGATGAACAAGGATTCCTCTGAATCGACATCACATCAGCTTTCAATCCTTGCGTGCTCAAACCGTAAACGAATCTAGTTCGAATTAGGTTCATATCGGCACCATCCGTCTTCCGAACTTGCCTCTCTGAAACGTGGCCGCCGGAAGCAACACTCTCGCAATCGAAAACCGCCGATTCGTCGTCTCCGGTGGATCTCTCTGATGGAATTGGTCGCTCCATAAATTTAATCGAAATTAAAAGCTAAAAAGAGATTATGTTATGTAACCTAAAAACTGAAGGTGGTTGAAGGTGGATGATAAACGGTGGAATTGAATGCAGTTTCCGGTAGGATCACGGTGGCCGCCGGCCATGCAGGCCGGCCGGTGGCTCTTTCACGGTGAGGCGCTATGGGTGGCCGTGTGGTCGCCACGTGGTGGCAGAAGTGGGTGGTGATGATGCATGGTGGACATGTGGCTGGGAGAGAGAACTGAGGTGGCGACGTGGCGTGATATGGACGCTGCAGGGTGGGGCCATCTCCTTGCAACACGTGGCGTGAAGCATGCTTTATACTGATGAAAAGCTGGAAGTTTCTGGAACCTTCTGGCAGAAGCTGGAAAAATCTGGAACGAATTGGATTATTGCTGGACCTTTTTCTGAATAAAACCCACTTGCTGAACAAAAAACCAAACTGGGCCTTGGCTGCCTTAAGCCCAAAACGAAAATGACTGAAAAAAAGCTGCAAAAAAACTGAAAAGCAGAATTAAAGCCCAATTATCATCTAATCCTAATTAATCTCAATTAACTAAACTAATCTTAATTAATCTAAACTAATCTAAAACCTATATTAAAATCTAAAAAAAGACTATTATTTCTATTAAAATCTATAACAGAAAATGAAAAGAAAAATCTATATATTTCTAAAAAATGAATATTAAAACTATTTAAAATCTATTAATTTCTACATTACTCTTTATTGTTTAAAAATATTAAACTCCACCTAATATGCTCTAAAAAAATGCCATTAAATTCTATTAATATTCTAAAACTATATTACCCTATATTATTTAAAGACAATCTATATTATCCTATTTATATTCTAAAATGATTAAAAAAGCTAGTTATTTCTACAAAATTCTATATATGATTTAAAAAGAATTAAAAATATCAAAAATTCTATTAAATCCTAAAAAATGATTTAAAAGCTATTTAAACCCTTAAAAAAAATCATATAAAAATCCAGAAAAATCACCATAATTCCCAGAGGGACAAAATGAGCACCGAACGACACAAAAATAATCGGTAAAAATAAACGGGCACCGAAATATCCCAAAAATACGATTCTACTGATCAAAAACACCTGAAACACGAGACGGGAGCTGTGATCCCTGATAAAATCAATACAAATGAAAAATACAATGTATGCGATATGCAGATGCGAATGCGGTTATGCGTCGAAACATCGAGCCAAATGCGAGACCCGGTTGGTCAAATTTTGGGGTGCAACACCTCCTTGACATCCTCCTTCACAATAGACCAGGCAGACTTGAAAAAGAATGAGTTGAACCCATCAATACCTGAAGCTTTGGTGTTTCCAATGTCAACAAGAGCATTTCAAATTTCTTTTTCCTCCACAAGTTTGATAAGCTTTTGAGCACTCTCCTAAGATAAATTATTTTCCCTTCTGACAACATGGATGTCAATGCCTTTTAAAATTGTTCCAACAAGATAGAAATCCATAATTTCTTATTTAATAGTTTCTACATAAGGATGGATTCTTCCACTTGATTGAGCTGGATTAGGTGGTCATTACACTCTTTCACATGGTCAATGGCTTGTCTATCAAACAAATTTTCTTTTAGATGTTCCTGAGCTTGCAGTAGAGCTTGTCTATCTTATTTATTTGGATCTGTATATCAGTCACCTTTTTAATTAAAGGCTTTATAGCTGGTTGCAGTCTATGAAATTTCCTCCACAATCTATACATAGCAGATCCTCTTATATTCTCTTGCCAGTTTTGGCCCCCACTTGAAGGTATGAGGCGTCTTGAGTAACACAGTTAAGAAACTTAAAGCTGGTTCTTCTGATTATTCTGTAAGTACTGGCCCTAATTCTGATGGGAGAATGATCAAAATTTCTAGGGGCCATCACTTTTACTATGCCATTGTGAAATCTTTGGAACCACTACACATTGCCAATAGTGTCGCTACTGCGAAAATCGGCGCCGGCTATGACAAAAGAGTCGCCACTGTGCGTTATTTATCCCAAAGGAGGGAAAGGAAACGCTCAGAGTAAACCTAAAGCAAAACGGGAAAGGAATGGTCATCTTAACCAAATTCCTGGATTCGGGAGTCGATTACGCAAGGGGAAGGTATTAGCACCCCTCACGTCCGCCGTACTCGACGGGATCCACGCTTGTTTTTTTGCTAAGGGATTGTATTCTATCTACTCTAAAGGTCAAGGGACAAAAGAAAAGAAAAGAGAAAAGAGACTCGATAGAGCATCGCCGCTCTATGCCTACGTATTCCCTCGTGCAATGGGAAAGTCAGAGTCTACGTAGTTCGGCTAACTACGGATGAAGGTGGGAAGGTTGCTCGCTAGGATACGGCATCTTATGCCTACGTACTTTCATACAGCATGAAAGATCAGAGCAAATGTAGTTCGGGCTACGGAAGACACAAGCTTGTCCGACTGTTTTTTATTACCTTATGAAAGGGTTTATCTTGATTAAGAGTCCAAGCGGACAAAAATGACACTTTGATGTTTATTTTGAATCTTTTACGAAAGAAGTGTTTTTTAGTTTGTTTGCAATCTCTGACGCACTAGAGACTATGATTTGAGAGTGACTACGTCGCGTGTCACCCAAAGGGTGCCACACTAAGCAGCCAGACTACTGTAAAGAAGCTCTCCAGGAACCTTTTCCCAAATAGCTTAAGGCTCGTAACGTACGACATCGATTAACCTTATTACTGTATTTTTGAGTTGTTTTGAGATAAGAAGAGAAAAAAGCTCTAAAAAGCCTAGGGTTGAAAAGGGAATAAAAAAAACTAACCTAATGTTGTCATGCATGGATAAGAACCCTAATGTTTGTCATAATTCCCTCCTGCACAGAGGAAATCAGAGATCCTAGGGGATAAACAGAAAAGAAAGCAAGCAAATACAGTAAAATGCATGAAATGCAGCAATACAAGCGAGGCAAGGGAGTCCTGCTCAACCTCGAACCTGGGAAAACAACAGGCAAAGTGAATCAACATTCACTTCAAACCTAGGGGGCAAGCTGCACAAGCCAACAAACAATACAGAAAAACCAAAATAAAACAGAGGAGGCAGCCCAAGCAGCAGCATCAAACTCCCACAGTTGACAGCACAAGCAGCAGCTCTGACAGCAACAACAAAAAGTTGACAGCAACAACCTTCATCTTCATGACTGCTCATATCCTCAAGCTTCAATAAGCTTTCACTCTTCAACAAGCACCAAGCTTCAACAAGCTTCAAACTTCAACAAGCAACCAACTTAAACCAGCAAACTTCAACCAGTAAACAACTTCAACAAGCTCCTAACTTCATCTTCAACAAGCAGCAAAACCCTAACTTCAACAAGCAACCAGCTTCAACAAGCACAAACTTCATCTTCAACAAGCTTCAACAAGCAACCTCCAAAGGAGAATCAATTAACAAGATCAGGTTGAAATGTTAAGTAACTTAATGACAACCAAAGGAAGCCATTAAGAACTTAACATTATGAGAGAATGGCATCCTCAAAGTTCTACTCTTAAAGCATGCCATTCATCCCTCCAAAGGAGAGATATGGCTTCTTTAATAGGACTTTATGTCATTGGATTGAATGGAGATGAACAATATACTCCATGTTTGAAGAAACAAGCAAAACCAATCTAATGCTCTTCCTAAAACCCTAGTTTCCCTAAGCTCCTGACAAGCATCCACAAGAGGAGAAATCTTCACATCCAAGCTTTTTCAAGCACTCCAAAGCATCTTCAATTGGTCTTCATCTTCATCCAAAAGCAAAGGCACCACCACTTATTCTAAAGGGGAACTATTGGGTTAAACTAGTCAAGTTAGTGTGTTAGAAACTCCTAAATGTTAGTCTTAAAACTAAATCTAATTAAAATACTAAAAATGATTTTAAAATCCTATAAAAATTCTAAGGGTTCCTAAACCTCTTAAGAATCACTCCATACAAAAATCAGGGGGTTAACCAATCATTAAATCCTAAAACTATGCCCTAAACCTAAGGGTACTATCTTAAAACCCTAATCTAAATCACCTATTGTTTAATGTTCAAACTAGCCTAAATTTATCTCACAAAATTATGAGAAAAATACTAAGGGTACATGCATATCTAAGCTAACTATAACAAAAAGAATCAACTCAAAAATCCACACCAATTACTCATACTAAAATCAGCAAGAACAAGCACCAAACAAATTGAATTTAAAACCAATTAAAATGCAAAAATGCAATTAAAAAATAAAATGCATGAATTATGAATTTTTTAACCCTATTAAATTCTAGACTCTTTAAGGAGTCCAGGAAATAAAATCTAGCCTAAAATGTTTATTTTCCTATTTATGGTGAATTAATTCCTAACCTATATGAAATATGTAAAATAAAAGAAATATAAAGAAAATAGAGAAAAGCGTGTGCTGAATAGCAATACAAACCAGTTGTAATCCAGGCTGGGCCCAAAGAGGGGGTGTGAAAAGCGCTTCAGACTAAGCCCAAACCAATTAAAAAGAAAATGGAAGAAAACATGAAAAATTGTAAAACGTGTGTGGCATATAGCAATCCTTTTCAGTTCAAATCAAACCATGGGCCTATCCTGGGGTGTGTATAGCAAGAAACTCACTTAAGCCCAACACACTTGGATTAATGAAACGGTGAGTTTCATCAAACTCACTCTCTTCAGAAATTGAAACGAAATCCTGGTCGTGGATGCTAGTCTGAGTCAACAGTCAAAGCCTCATCTGAGGGCTCTCAATCATCTTCTCCAAAACATTCAAAATTGGGAGGGAGAATTGGACGGTGGCCTGAGCTGCAGCGCCGCCGTCGTCTCCGGCGAGGCAATCACAAAAAGGCATCAAACGCAACAACTTATTATCCAATCTCACTCCAAATTTCATCCTGAGCACGAATATGCCATCAAAATTCATTGATCATCACCCTAACTCCAAAACCGATCGAATGTTCAGAAATTCACCAAGTCTTGAATGTCACAAAACTTA